ATATTTATATATTTTTACCATATTCCCAAAACCCCAAAACCCCAAAACCCCAAAACCCCAAAGATGAGAATAAAAGGTATATCGGTTGAAAACTTAAATAAATTATTATCAGATTCAATGGAGGAAAACTATGTTTATGGGAATATGGTAAAAATATATAAATATAAAAATCAATACTTAGATTAGAAGCAGATCAAATGGGGATTTCTAAAATGCTTGAACTTCTTAATCTAATTGGGAATATAGTAGTCCATACAATCAGATGCTCCACCTAACTAAATAATAAGAGAGTAAAAATGAAATCAGATGGGAATCAAGTAGCGTCACAGGAATCACAGCTAAAGCAGTATATAGATAAAACAGAAATAAATTTCAGCCCTAACTGATTAAAGCTGAGTAAAAATAAATAGATGATCATTCATTTAAAATAAGACAACCTTGGAATTCGAAACCTTATCTTTTATCCTTGAGAATCCAATAAGATCAAATAAAATAAAATCTATTAGAGAATGATTCTAATAAGATTACTGAGATACTTAAAAGATTATCTCAAGAAAAAGTTCTTAGTAAAAATTCTATAAATTTGATTAAGGAAGCTTATGATAAAGGCTATGTGACAGATATCTAAAATCTTGTAAAATTTGCATAAAATTCGAGAAACCCCATTGAGGAATCTTACTCTCAAAAATACATAGGACTTCAAGATGGTACATTGGGTATCTAAACATCAAGAGTACCGATTCCATAAAGGCTTTAGAAGTCTTAGAGTGTTTCAAGGATTGAACATTAAATAAGGCTTAAGTAAGCTAAGCAAGGAAACCATGTTAAGAGAAGTAGCTTAACAACTATTAAATAAGCAAACCCGCAATAAAAATCTTTAGAATCAGTTTAATAATAACCAGAATAAATTTAAGATAATGAAATCATCTAAAATTAAGAAATTGGTACAATATTCAAGAGTGAAGATAGAAAGATAGCTGAGATTAATCAGGATATTCAAGAAGTATATTATGAGAACTCATAAGTATAAAATATTGATACTAATTTCACAGATTTAGACTCCATACTTGATACAGGTCGTCTTACCTCATCTAGAGAATCTCAGAATATTTAGTAATAAAGGAATTTAGATTTTTATGGGATGAGTGATTCATAAACTCCATTTTAAAATGTACGAATACAAAGAGAGAGTAGCAGGTAGTCATTCATCCTCCAATAAAGGTAATCATCAGATGAGAAAAATAAGATATTTTTAGACAAAAACAGGCTTATTAACAGCTATGCTATTCCAAAGATTTTAATTTCCCAAAAAAAGATAAAAACTTTCTCTGAGAGTGAAAAATTTTATCTTGAACATCCAGAATAAGGATAGAGTGATAAAAGAGAATCAGTTAAGAAGAGTTTAATTTCATTTCCAAATCTTATTGAGATAAATAACAGCCCTTATAAGAGGAAGGGGTATCTTTTGCTTGATCAATCTAAAATAAAAAGACAGAAAGATGTAGCTTAGAGAAAGTAATAGTAATCCTTAGCTATTGAATAGTTTCAGAAAAATAAAAATACATAATATAATGAGGCGGATTAGTAAGTTCAAAGTACTCAATCTAATATGAGTTCATTGAGAAAAAATTAGCGCTTAATAGATAGAATTCTCAAATTAGATTAAGAAAAAAAGCGATATGACGATTTATTATTTCAAATAAATGGAGGTTAAGATTCTGTTGATTCATACTATACAGACTAATTGCTAAATAGTCTGAAGTTGAATCCGATATCTCAAAGAAATTCAATTTAAAAGCTTTTAGATTTGAAGAGGTCATCCTCCAAATAAAAAATTGATCATAGCACATCTTTTTCATAAAATAACGATAAATTTTGAAAGCAGTAAATTATCAAGATCTCAATTTTTCGATCAATATTCCACTTAAATAATCATAAGAATTTATTGAATAAACATTTTACCAGTTTAATCTTAATCTTAATTTAATTAATTCATTCTTATTTACCTAAATTCATAAAATACTTGAGTCCATCTTCAAATCACTCTTAACTCTCCTCTGATGAGATTTCGACACTATTTTCATCCTAAATAAAAATGTGATCATCATTATGTTCATTCATTCCACATGTAAATTCTTGTTTACTATTAATTATCATATTTGTGTAATAATCAATAGCCTAAAGCCTTTCTTAGTTAGTTAAGTAGAGTCCATATCGATTTAGTATTGATATTTCTTGAAAGTCATACTATCTATCATACTAATCTAAGATGCAAAGAATCTCTTCAAACTTAGGTAGATCATCATTTATTGATTTCAAGATCAACTAAGCCTGCATATTAGCAGATAGCTCATTTTTCATTTATTGAAGTTCTATAACTCGATTAAGGTTAGGCTCGATGTATTATCCCTTGAAATGATTAGCCTTAGCAATTACTTTATCTAAAATTCCTAATTTATCAATCAAGAAAGACTATTCATCGGATGATAATGGCACACTCTCTAGTTGTCCTGTTTTATCATTTATTACTTGCTTATCATTTTCTAAATATAACTGAATTTTTTCTTTAATAGATTTTTGTTCTTGAAGGAGTTCTCTAAAGCGCCTTATGACGATCTTTAATCTATAAAAGTTGATGTCAAACTTATTGAAATGACCTTCTTTACTGACTTTAACTAGCTTTAGATTCTCTGGTTGGATCACATGCACATCATAATAGTCTAATTATTTAAGATAGTCTTTGATTATGTGAAAGTTATCATGACTCTGGAAAAATGTCTTCTCTATCTATTATCTCAGTTGATTGTAAGTGAGTACTCCTTGATGATGTTCCTTAGTCCAGTTGATCAGCTCATCACAGACAAATCTCATATACTATAAGCTGATATAGCTATCCTCTTCTTTGAGTTTGCTGATTGCGCAACCTAAATTTTCCAGACTCATATACCTTTTCATTACTCTAAACCAGTTTCCATCCTTCATTTGCTTCATAAAATCCCTCTTACTTATTAAAACTCCTTACTTAACCAAATCTTCAATTATATTCTTTAATCCGGCGGGACTTCTATCATATATATTGAATGCATTCTTAATCAATTGCTAAGTAAGATCAATCTTCATGAATACATTTTTGTAAAGTCCTTCAATCGCATTTTTCCAAAAAGGCATTACCTATTTAAGCTCATCCTCATAGCCGTCGAAATTCAGATAGAGTAGCTGCAAAGTCTTTTCATTGTGAAGCTATGGTAACCCTTCTAAGTAGGCAGAAAGTTTTTATTTCTCATCAGCAGAAATCCTTTAGTTGCTTTATATAGGTTTCCTTTAGTCAATTATATATTCTTACCAGCCATATTTATCCTACTGAGTAGAATCACTTGGATCTTTCTTCATTTTATTTACCACAAAGACGTGAATTTTAGCAGTCTGCCTAGCTTATTTAGTCATCCTTCTACTTTTTTAACTAGCGCTACTCATTATTGGACTATTTATATTTTAATATTTATTAGTAATATCCATATCTCCTCAAATATTAAGATAGTACCATTAATTTTAATTTATTTTCCCCTGCAATTAAAAGGAGAATTCTTAATGGTTGGGGTTTTGGGGTTTTGGGG